TTTTAAGCCTTATATCTAGTCCTACAATGAAAGGCTTTGTTCCTGCTAGAGGAATTCAATAAAGTTTTATTTTTACAAGAAACTAGGAAAGAAAAAGAAAACACTAAGGACATTATATATCTAAAGAAACTATAGAAATAGCCTCTATACCTTTCTAAAGTCTAAATAAGCAGGTGTTTGGAGATTAAAAGAGGTTTGAAAAATGTTATCAACCAAATAACAATATGTAAATTTGATTTGNTGTCACATTTTCTGGATTCTTCTGGTAAGTTTTGGGGAACTCTGCATTTAGGACCAATTATCCTCATGTTGGATCATTTCTATCTTCTATTTCTGTGGGCTTCTCTGTATTTGTGGTTTTTTTCCCCAACTGCATGTACTGTAATCACTTTAAGCTTTTATTTTAACTTGATTTTCTATGGTGTCTTTTCTATTCCTTTTTACTTGTACTTCAATGCATTTGTTCTGTAATGGTGTTGTTTGGACCAACAATTTATATATTTAGGTCTGATGCTCTCCTTTTATCTCTGTCCTCTGTTTCTCTTTATTCCCTTTTTTGAGGTCCCATTTTTAATTAATGTATATATAATTCATGTAGAAAAATTTCTTGCTATTTATTTAGTTATGTATTCCTGTCACTTTCCTTATTAATCTTTGCATAATTTCTTCCTTTCTTGCCTGCCTCCCTTTATCTTGTTTTTTTTTTCTTTCATTTGATTTGATTGTTAAATGCCTTGAACCAATGTTCTGATTTTCACAATTTCAAAGAGTAGCCCATTTCTTTAGGGGATATTCTCAATCTCTAGGTCATTTCTCAATGGCAAATTAGACAGAGAGAAAGAGACATGGCCAAGGGTAGGGAAAAAAAAGAAAGGCTATCCCTCAGTTAGCAAATTTCAGATTTCCTTCAATTCTCAGATTTTTGGTCTCTCCAATATGATTTCAGGGGCAGTGAGCTGGTTAGGAGACAGGCTATGCTCTTCCACTCTCTGCTCCAAGAAGTTCTGTTTTCCTCCTTGACATCAGTTTTTAAGGTTTTATTATCCTACATTATCTTCTTTTTCTTGCTGGCAATTACTAGTAAGTTTTTTTGAGAGGGTTTTTTTTAAAAAAATACTTATTTTGGGTGCACTTTTGTTAAGTAGGGGAAGGGAAAATCTGTGGGGCAGTATTAATTCTCCTTTTTAACTTAAAAGTCTATTATCTGCTACTGGTCATATTTTATTTTAAAAGCAGGCTACAGGAAGGGGAAATAAATTTCATAAGAAAAGAACCTAATGCTTTGGGCTGGAAGCAATCTCATAAGTCATCCACTTTAAGTTCACAGAGCCAATTAATAACTGGGATGGGACTATAAAAAGGACTCCTGGTATTTTTTTCCATTTTCCTCTGTCTCACTAATGGGTGGAGGTTTAGATATCAGAGAACAAGAGAGAGGGAGAGAGAGTACGCTTTATATTGGGGACCTTCCCTTCCTGCCTCTAAGCATACTACATACCTCTAGGCCTTTGTTAAGGGCAGCCTGGTGGCATAAAATTGGGGATCTGACTATAACACTAAAAAAGTACACACTGAATAAAGGCTCAGTAAAATGAAGAAAGAACACAAGGGGTAAGTGAAGGCTTTTTTCTTTTCCCTCTCCTCACTGGTTTTTAAAAAATTCACCAGAACTGTAAATCATTTTAGATATGGGACATTGTAAAAATAAAGGATTGCATTTTCTGGGTGATTCCCCTTGGCTGCTATGTCAGCTAATGAGAATTGAGAAGTGATCCCTATGGGAATTGTATTACAAGTAAATGCCTTGGGTTTTAATTTTGTCAGTTGGATAATGGCTTTTAAAAATAAGCCAAAGGAATGTAATTTAGTAGGAAATGTAAAAACATAATCTGCCTTGGATGTGATAATTCCCCTAAGGGTCAGACCCATCCCACATGATCATTGAGGCATCTCAGAATATGCTCCATCTCTTAGAATAGGCTTCCCCTTTTCTGAAAGGAAGATCTGTCAGCATCAGAAAGCTATCCTCAAACTTATTGGACCAACTGGCCACTAGTCATTGAACAAAACCACAGAAATAATTATTTCTGAAGCTGTCCAGAAATGCAGAGTCCTGTTGCTATTAGACAGATCCTGATCCTATTGTACAATAGGGCCCTTGGTCAATACTGACTTGGGTACATCCAGAAGCTATACTTGACGCCCAGCTGCAAGCAGAAGACAAAGAAAAGTACTACAAGTGTGGATAGAGTATTTTCTATCAAAGTCAGTTGGGTAGCAAAAACTTGGAATTCATAAACAATCTAGAATTGTTCTGTGGTAATGTGACGTGAAGGAATTAAACAATTACAGAATTCTTTAGGTTCAGAAACACAAAGCATGGGAGCAAATGACTCCTTGATCCTAGGAGGCGGCAGAGGATCAAGATAAAGAGGACAGGCTCTGAAGTCAGGGACCCACTTTGCCATTTATTGACTTGAGCAATTTAATTATAAGCTTCAGTTTCTTCTTCTGTAAAGTGCAATTCATGATTGTAAGTAAGTATTCATCAGTTTACTACAAAGACTAAACTGGTTAAGTAAAATACCTGAATTAGAGTAAGTCCTCAATAAGTGTTATTACTATTTTTCCTTGAGGATTAGAGTTCATCTTACTTTTACTCTTGCTCGTACTTCTGCAAGGAACATTTCAGTAATTTCTTACACTTGTACTTTTCACTTTTGTATATATGTGGTTACAACACTAAAGGAATCAGTTTGTTTTTGTTTCATTTTTATATGCCTCCAGTACATCTCCCTCTCCCCATTGTCTCATAAAAGCAGCTAGATTTTCCCTTAAGAAACCACCTCCGTCCTACTCCCAGAGCTCATGTTTTGGGTACGGCTGACCTGGTCCCCAGGTCCAAGGTGGCTAGCCAATCAGACCATTCCACCCTGTAAATATTGGTTCAGGAATGGGCAGATCACCCAAGTCAGGCCAATGAGATGTAATCCTAGGGCTTTTGCTAAGTCTCTTAGGAAAGTGAGAACTGCTTACCCTTAATGGTCTAAGTCTGGTGGTACCAGAGGTCACCATGGGGCTAAGCCTGCCTGAGGATGTAATGAACACAGAGAAATGCAGAACTCACAGATGGAGACGGTTTCCTAATAGTATGTTTGAGTACCTTAGTTCAGTTGTACCTGAAGAACACACACACACACACACACACACACACACACACACAGGTTTTATAAGCCAAATAAAGTCCCTTTTTCTTAAGTCAGTTTGGATCGAGTTCCTGTCATTGCAATTGAAGGAGTCCTGACAAATAAACCAGTCCTAGAGAATAATATAAAGTAGGCAGTGTGATCTAATTGATGATTTTTATATTTTTTCCACATTTTCTCCCTTTGCTCTTGCATTCAGTACCTTTATGCTTTCTTCTTCCTTTTTATTTTTTCAGCGAAATAATCTGTAATGTTTGTCCTTGATGGTACAGGGTAAATTTCTGTTATTGTATTATTTTTCCTAGAATATTTATATTTTAAGCCTTATATCTAGTCCTACAATGAAAGGCTTTGTTCCTGCTAGAGGAATTCAATAAAGTTTTATTTTTACAAGAAACTAGGAAAGAAAAAGAAAACACTAAGGACATTATATATCTAAAGAAACTATAGAAATAGCCTCTATACCTTTCTAAAGTCTAAATAAGCAGGTGTTTGGAGATTAAAAGAGGTTTGAAAAATGTTATCAACCAAATAACAATATGTAAATTTGATTTGGATTCTGCATCAAACAAACCAAGTTTTTAATATAAACCCTTTTATGATACAATCAAGGGAAATTGAACATTGGATATTTTTTTATTCAGGAATAGCTGTTAAAATATTTACATGTGATAATTTTTAAAGAGTTTTTATCATTTGGAGATAAATATGGAAATACTTTTGGATGAAAAAATACAATGTTTGAGATTTACTTTGAAATATTCCAGTAGGCAAGGAGTGAGAGGAGGAGACAAAGCATGGAGATGAACAAGATTTGCAACAAATAATGGTTGAAGATTGGTAATGGGTCAAGCATGGGGCTCATCACACTATTCTAACTTTATGCTTGCAATTTTCCATAATGAAAGATTTCCTTAAAAAAAAACAAGGAGAAATGGCCAAGGCTGCCATTCACCTGCCCAGAATCTATGCCCTTGTTCTTCTTTTACAAAAAGAACCCCTATATTGCTGAGGATGCGATGTAACTGTTCAGATTAGATTTTTTTTAATGATTTACTTTTTTCAGATTCCCTTGCAGATATGAGTGACCAGTGAAAAGCAGGTAGAAGCCATGGGGTGTGGCTTCCAGGAAAACTCTTTAAAGGTGTTGGCTCAGTAGGTAGGTAAGTCTGTTACCCTTACCTCATCTTTTCTGTTGCTTGGGACAAAGACCCAAGGCAGGCACTGGCAGGGTCATCTTCCACCACAGGCAACCTGAAGACAAGAATACCTGATGTGACAGCAGCACAAGATGGAAGGAACCTGGATACCTGATGACTGTGGAGCTCCCGCACCAGCTCAGGGTGGCCACCCCCCGCCCTACAACACACACTTTTTTGTTTTAAATTTGCATTTTTCCTTACAGAGGCTGTAAACTCCACGAAGAATGATTTCCTGTGTTTTAGTTCACGAACTTGGCTGCTTTCTGGAACTACCTGCGGTGTTTTTAAAAACATTAAGGCTTGGGCCCCACGTCCAGAGTGCCTGATTTCAACGATTCGGGGTACAGTCTAGCCATTGGAATCTGTAAGAGCTGCCTTCGGTGATTCCAATGTGCAGCCAATTTGGATACCCGCTGTTTTAGCTCGCCATTGGATCCTGGGAGCGCCATTGACTCCGGCTGAGCGGCGGTCGGGGACCCGGAGCAGGACTGCCAGCAGCCGCGGAAGATTTCCCAGCCCAAGCCCACCGAGCCCGGCCTCTTCCCCACCCCGGCTCCGCCCAGCCGAGGCCCCGGATAACGCGGGGACGCGCGCAGTCGCCGAAGAGTTCCGATGTGCGCCTGCGCGGCGCTGAGTGCTGGCGGGCAGTTTGAATTTCGCTCACGGAGTCGCGCGTCATCCTTCGGCCGAGAGGCTGGTGTCCGCTGCTGGCGGTCGAAGGCGAGTGGACCCTGTGCTCCCGGATCCGCGCGAGGCTGAAGTCCGGAGTTGGGCATTCCGCCCTGGGTGGGAAGGGGGGCGCGCGGCCGCGCGGGGCGGAGGAGCGGGAATGGAACTTCCGCTCGGTCGGCTTTAACGGGTGCTTTAGATCTTCCGCTGCCTCGGCCCCCTTCCTCACCCTAGTCCCCAATCGCCCGCAGCATAGGAGAATGCTTACCTGGCCCCCTTTCTTTGCATTTAAATTGTCTTTTTCCTTAAAAGTCAGTGTATTTTGCGTGTTTGAAGAAAATATCAATGTCTTTATAAATAGTTAATTTATTTCCTTAAAAAAATGACGCAGGCTTATCCCCTGCAGCCTGGTTTGGACGCACTGCCTACAGGAAGTTCTAAAACAAATCAGTACTGGACTTTGCTTACAAACTGAATTTTGTACAATCAAAAGAAATTGCTCTTGAGTTTTTGTATTTTCCTTTCAAGATGTGATTTACTGGGTATTAAGCATTCTTGAATTTTGAAAGTGAACTGAAATTTGGCTTTTCTTTTTTTGTAAATGCGTGTGTATCTTTTCTTTCACAGGCTTAAAGGATGTCCTCCCCAGATCTAGAACAATTATGCTCTCATATTAATGAAAAGATTGGCAATATTAAAAAAATGCTGTCATTAAGAAACTGTGGTAAGTAGAACAGATTCTACCGACTACCTACGCAATGCATTTTGATTATTGTTCCACTTTGAATACCTTATGCCTGGTTAAGTGAATGTACCGTTGGTAACTTTAAGTTTCTGATAGTGATTTTTAAAGCACTAAAGCATCAGTATTTTGAATATTGCAAAGGATACTAAAATGTAAGTTACATTGAACAATGAACTAGAATGTTAGATTTATTAAGTTTTTCAGAGACACACAAGGCACTATAGTGAGATTTGATGGTTATGTGGCACTTGTGGTTGTAGAGATAATTGTCTTCCAAAATATTTTGAAGTGCTGAAAGAAGATGATGCAATGAAAGTACAGACATAGATGATCCTTATCAAGTCTGGGAAAATGTTGTTTACAAAAATGATGTGCTCCCCAGCCCTATGTATCAGAGCTAAAGATTTACTGATAGAATTTCATTTTCTGGGAAGATCATGTTGAACTTTACTGTGGTTTATGTTAGGAATTAGTCATTTTTAAAAAATTTTCAACTATGAAATTGTAGTCTTAGAATACCCTTTCAAATTATACATGTCCTCCTAGGGACTTTGGTGTTCCCCATCTCTTGTTGAGAGCCTCTAATAAAGGAGCATCATACATTTTGTAGTTCATGGCTCCCATTCTCTGTAGAAAGTTAAAGCTGAAGGTTCAACTTTATCTGGATTCATCTTCTCCAGACCCCACATTTCACCCATGACTCTCAGAAGTCAAGTGGTTTGTCCAGGTCCCTCAGCTCAGAGGTAATCAGTTAGGACTACAGTTTTTCTGTCTTGATTTCCAGTCTAGTACTACTTCTATGCCACTTTTATTGATAAATACTAAAAGGACATTTAAATTTTTAATAATTAGTCTTAGTTAGATTCTCTGTCTGAGGGCATGATGAGTGTTGGATACACGGGTATAATTTGGAGATCTGTAAAACTATCAAACCGTGAATTCAAATGATCCCACCAAAGCAGAAGGTCTACCTGAAGCAGTCTGACCTATTAGATTACTGCACATAGAGTAACTTATTTGTATGTGGCAATAATAATTTGTCTGGTTCCATAGCCTATTTCATAAAGCCCAGTAATTTGTTTGCCATATGGCTGCTATAATTTACTAGATCCCTACTATCAAAAGTAGTGGATTGGCTTAAATTGATTATATTACTACAAATCAGCAAATGAGACCCTAAAATTTAGGTGACTAATAGTTATTTGAGATGCCAGTTATCTAGTACTAGTTATTTAACCCCCTGAAATTTATCTCAGTAGAGATAGCAATACTCTCATTTACTTATCAATTTGTTTTAGTTGTTATTAACTTAGTGAAAATGCAATTAGCAATTCTCTGTTAGAATTAATATACAGCTTCTCATTTTGATGCTGAATAGTAGGTAGCCTTTACTGAGTGCTTTACAGTGTTGCAGATACAGTGCTAAACCCGATTTATATGTACTTTTTCACTTATTCCAGTAACCTTGAGGTAGGTAGTGGTGTCTCTGACTGTAGGCCTGGAGCTTCTAGCCATTTCACTCTACGGCTTCTTCAATGTGCGGATTTGGTCAAACAGTGCTTTTACTTATGTGTAATTTCATTGTTTGGTGACTAGAAGTGAAGATGGAAAGATTTGATTAGAAGGCTAGTTTTTCATTTGTGCTTTTGATCTGCTCTTTGAATATTGTTTATTATTAGTTTTTTTTTTCTCTAAGGATGAGGAGACTGGTTTTCCCATCCTCAAATCTCTGAAGCTAAAGAGAGGTTCCAGAAGGAGAGGTTGGGAGTATGACAGCATGCTGCTTGTGTTCATTTCTGTCAGGCACCCCAGGGTCATCACAAGCCTGTCACTTTTTTTTTATATCGTTAATGTACAATTACTTGAACATTATGATTACTAGACTCCCCCTATTATCAAGTCCCCCCACATACCCCATTGCAGTCACTGTCCATCAGCATACTAAGATGCTATAGAATCATTACTTGTCTTCTCTGTATATACTGCCCTTCCTGTGTCCCCCTCCGACTACATTATATGTGCTAATCATAATGCCCCCATTTCCCCCTTATCACTCCCTTCCCACCCATCCTCCCTAGTCCATTTCCCTTTGGTAACTGTTAGTACATTCTTGGGTTCTGCGAGTCTGCTGCTGTTTTGTTCCTTCAGTTTTTTCCTTGTTCCTATACTCCACAGATGAGTGAAATCATTTGATACCTGTCCTTCTCCACCTGGCTTATTTCACTGAGCATAATACCCTGTAGCTCCATCCATGTTGTTGCAAATGGTAGGATTTGTTTTCTTCTTATGGCTGAATAATATTCTATTGTGTATATGTACCACATCTTCTTTATCCATTCATCTACTGATGGACACTTAGGTTGCTTCCATTTCTCGGCTATTGTAAATAGTGCTGTGATAAACATAGAGGTACATATGTCTTTTTCAAACTGGGCTGCTGTATTCATAGGGTAAATTCCTAGGAGTGGAATTCCTGGGTCAAATGGTATTTCTATTTTGAGTTTTTGGAGGAACCTCCATACTGCTTTCCACAATGGCTAAACTAGTTTACATTCCCAGCAGCAGTGTAGGAGGGTTCCCCTTTTTCCACATCTTTGCCAACATGTGTTGTTGTTTGTCCTTTGGGTGGTGGCCATCCTAACTGGTATGAGGTGATATGTCATTGTGATTTTAATTTGCATTTCTCTGATGATTAGTGATGTGGAACATCTTTTCATGTGCCTGTTGGCCATCTGAATTTCATCTTTGGAGAACTGTCTGTTCAGCTCCTCTGCCCATTTTTTAATTGGCTTATTTGCTTTTTGTTTGTTGAGGTGTGTGAGCTCTTTATATAATTTGGATGTCAACCCCTTATCGGACATGCCATTTATGAATATATTCTCCCATACTGTAGGATGTCTTTTTGTTCTACTGATGGTGTCCTTTGCTGTACAGAAGCTTTTTAGTTTAATATAGTCCCACTTGTTCATTTTTGCTTTTGTTTCCCTTGCCTGGGGAGATATGTTCATGAAGAAGTTGCTCATGTTTATGTCCCAGAGATTTTTGCCTATATTTTTTTCTGAGAGTTTTATGGTTTCATAACTTACATTCAGGTCTTTGATCCATTTTGAGTTTACTTTTGTGTATGGGGTTAGACAATAATCCAATTTCATTCTCTTACATGTAGCTGTCCAGTTTGGCCAACACCAGCTGGTGAAGAGGCTGTCATTTCCCCATTGTATATCCATGGCTCCTTTATCGTATATTAATTCACCATATATGCTTGGGTTTATATCTGCGCTCTCTATTCTGTTGCACTGGTCTATGGGTCTGTTCTTGTGCCAGTACCAAATTGTCTTGATTACTGTGACTTTGTAGTAGAGCTTGAAGTCAGGGAGCGTAATTCCCCCCACTTTATTCTTCCTTCTCAGGATTGCTTTGGCTATTCGGAGTCTTTTGTTGTTCCATAAGAATTTTAGAACTATTTGCTCCAGTTCATTGAAGAATGCTTTAGGTATTTTGATAGGGATTGCATTGAATCTGTAGATTGCTTTAGGCAGGATGGACATTTTGACAATATTAATTCTTCCTAGCCAAGAGCATGGGATGAATTTCCATTTATTAGTGTCCTCTTTAATTTCTCTTAAGAGCGTCTTGTAGTTTTCAGGGTATAGGTCTTTTACTTCCTTGTTTAGGTTTATTCCTAGGTATTTTATTCTTTTTGATGCAATTGTGAATGGGATTGTTTTCCTGATTTCTCTTTCTGCTAGTTCATTGCAGCAGATTTCTGTGTATTAATTTTGTATCCTGCAACTTTGCTGCATTCAGATATTAGATCTAGTAGTTTTGGAGTGGATTCTTTAGGGTGTTTTATGTACAATATCATGTCATCTGCAAACAGGGACAGTTTAACTTCTTCCTTGCCAATCTGGATGCCTTGTATTTCTTTGTTTTGTCTGATTGCCATGGCTAGGACCCCCAGTACTATGTTGAATAGAAGTGGGGAGAGTGGGCATCCTTGTCTTGTTCCAGATCTTAAAGGAAAAAGCTTTCAGCTTCTTGCTGTTAAGTATAATGTTGGCTGTGGGTTTGCCATATATGGCCTTTATTATGTTGAGGTACTTGCCCTCTATACCCATTTTGTGGATAGTTTTTATCATAAATGGATGTTGAATTTTGACAAATGCTTTTTCAGCATCTATGGAGATGATCGTGTGGTTTTTGTCTTTCTTTTTGTTGATGTGGTGGATGATGTTGATGGATTTTCGAATGTTTTACCGTCCTTGAATCCCTGGAATAAATCTTTCAGGAAGATTGGTGAGTTCAGTTTCATTTGGGCCTTTTTCTGGGGTTTGTGAGATTTTGGTCTGAACCATGTTCTTTTGACATTTCATATTTCTGTGTGGTGCCCACTAGTGCCCAGAAGCTCCAGTCTCTGGAGCTGCTCCACCCCTAGAGTGAGGTTGGGGGTCATAGGAGAGCGGAGCTGGTGCCTGGGGGAAGGAAAGACCTGTTTCCTGGGTCCTGTCTGTGCTGCCTGTCTCCAGTGTCAGAGCCAGTGAGCCAAGCACACAGGTGTAAGCCTTTGTGCTTTGCGTCTCTAGCTGTTGTAGGTGGGGCCTCTCTCTGGCTAGCTGACACCAGCACAGTGACTGCCGGTTTGCGACCTAGTGCCAGCAGGCTAGGAGGAAGGCGCAGCAGGCTGTGTGTCACAGTGGGGGGCCTCAGAGCTGAGTAGGCAGCCAGGGGGATGGAGCACCTGAAGCTCCTCAAAGTTCCCTACCAGCTGTGCAGAGCACACCCAGACAACCTTGTCCAGCTCTCCTCTCCCCTGTGCAGCAAGCCCTCTTGGTGCTAGGAAGCCTCTCAGACTGCCGGCCTTTCCTCTGACACAGAGCTGTCAGATGTGGATCCCCTCCCCCACAAACGGTCGGAATCTCAGTCTCTCAAGCACTCCGCCTATCTGAGCTCCCCAACATCCAGAGCACCACACAATGTCGGTTTCTGCTCACAAAGCAAATCTCCAGCACTAGGTGTTCAGCAGTTCTAGGCTTCCACTCCCTCCCCACTCCGTTTCTCTTCCTCCCGCCGGTGAGCTGGGGTGGGGAAGCGCCTGGGTCCCACTGGATTAAGGCTTTTGTCTGTTACCCTGTTTCATGAGGTCTGCTCTTTAGTGAGATCTACATGCAGTCTAGTTCAGCCTTCTTTCTTGTTGCTGTTTTAGGGTTAGTTGTGTTAATTAACTATATTTTCATAGTATTTGTGGATTTGGGAGGAGTTCTCCATCTCACCTCTCATGCCACCATCTTGAAACTCAAGCCTGCCACTTTTTATGTTACCTTTTTTTCTGCTTAGGGATCATGAATAGTGTGAATAGTATAAATATGAATCCTAAACCCAGGTGAATCCCAAACTTCTGTTAGACAGATTCTGAACAGGAACTGTCCCCCACCTAACACCCACACCAGAGGACCAATCCAAGAGATAAGCTTGTCTCCCTGGCAATTTTTAGGAATTTTGAGGTTTGCACTTTCACTGAAGATACATCCAGTAAAGAAGGGTCTTGGCCTCATTTGGGATTCTCACTTCCAATGCCCGGTGATTTGAAGTCTCAAAGCCTTGGCTCTTGTCCCGATTAACACCAGATGCTTGAGGTTGCTGAGACTGACCACCTCCTCTGTCCAGCTTTCCTCCCCACCTCCCAGATGCGGGCTGCTGCAGCATCAGTTTACATGTACTGCCTGGTCTGTGCTTCTCTGTCCGTGTTTGAGCCCTTGGGGATTTACCTTATTCTCATGAAAGCTCAGCTATGCCTGCAGAAGGGTGTTTATTTTGTCCAGCATTTCTAGATGTTCTAATATAAAGGCAGAATTTGCCAGAAACACTTTGTACTTACCTCTCCCTTCTCTTCCATACTATTTAGAAATGAGGTCTTAAGATTAGCTATGAAGTCAGGTCCTAGGGATGGAAACACTAATCCTTTCTCTACCCCCTGATGTCCCTCTGTGGTAACACTCTGTTCCAAGAGTTCAGTTGGCTACATGTATTATTGCTTTTCCATACATTTTATTTATCATTTCATCTTTGTTTATTAATAGGTCAAGAACCTACCTTGAAGACTATGTTAAATAAAATAGGAGATGAGATCATTGTAGTAAATGACCTTCTAAATAAGTTGGAACTTGAAATTCAGTATCAAGAACAAACCAACAGTTCACTCAAGGTAATGCTTTTCTATAATGAAGAAAAATAATAAAAAGGCATTAAATACAAACTCCATGATCCCCAGGGAATTCTTAAGGATTCTTTAAGTTCACAATGTTCTTAGCTTTGTAAATTATTATTAATGGTAGATAGTGCCATTTACATTTTATTTTCTTAGTATAAAGGACTGTAAAGCTCCAAAGATATTTCTTCATGCTGGTAGCCAATGGAATTAACTTATACTGAAAAGGAAGATCTCCTAAATAATTCTTGGAAGGTTTAATTTAAACAAATACATCCTTGTAGAGCAGCGTGGAGGGAACACCGGCTTTAGGGGGAGGAGATGTGGAATCTATCCCTGGTTGCCCTTTGTACCCTCTGCCACCTTGAGAAAGTCATTTTACTTCTTGGGGTATCAAGATCCTCATTTGGAAAATATTGGGTCACACTGAACTGTTTCATAGGTCTATTCTGCATTTCTCTATTTCTATAAAATTTAATATAAGGATTCTCAAGTAAAGAAAAACATGAGCCTCATTCACCCACACATTTTGTTCTAAATAAGCCTTCTAATTGAATTCAGCTAATAGAGTTTGTATACTACCTGTTGGGAAAATAACTCAGGCTGTATCATAATTAACTCGTGCCGTTAGCGCCATTGATATTTTCAGTGGGATTGGACAAGGTGACTTCTACTGTCCCTTTCAGGCTTATAATCCTTGAAGTCTGTAAATATTTTTCAACTGTAGGAATGAGCATGATTATGCCTATCCTATTAGTTTAAATTACTATCTGTGAACATCATTCAGCTCTTTTAAAGAAAGATATCATATAAATTCAAAATAGAAACCAATATTGGTCTCAATTCTAACCTGCCCAAGAATGCCCAAGGTTAGATGTGGGCCTAGAGAATGCTCAACTCAGAATTGAAGGCTATTTGGAATTTTTGTTCATATTATGATTGAGAGTCAGATGACAAGAATTCAAAGGTACAATATTTTTCTTGTTAAATTTACATAAGTTCATAGCCTGAAATTCTAGTGAAAGTTAAGACAACGTAAAACCTAAACAAGCAATTATGATCCAGTAGAAATATTCATTAAACTGGCATATATGCATGTCAGCAATAGAAGTCATTCTGAACTGCATCTCATACTTGCATTCTAGGCATGCATTATCACTCTGGTGCTGTTATACAAATGACACTGAGGAGGAGTATTTGCTAAATCAACAAAAGCAATTTACAAGAGTGACAAACATTAATCTTCCAGTATTTCTTTTTAAGTTACTTCCCAAGGTTAGAGTATTTTAGAAAGACAAATGTCAACTTGGTCTGTTACAATGTGATTATAAGAATTGCTCTCTGAAAAAAATCCAGTGGAGAAAAATACTCTATTGCCATCTAAAAAGCTTCAGAAACCAAAGGGCACTGTTAAAAATACTGCCTTCAGTGCTTTTTCTCCCCTTCTGCATTCTGAACACTCATAGTCTTCCATGTTCTTTATAACATCTTAAAAACACACAGCCTGGACCAATGCTTATTTCTGAGCATTTTTTAAATTTTAGGAACTCTATGAATCCCTTGAAGAAGATTATAAAGATGTGGAACATCTCAAAGAAAACATTCCTCCCTATTTGCCTCAAGTAACAGTAACCCAGAATTTGTAAGTGTATTTTTAATTATTCCTGCTTTCTGGATTTATAAAACTATTAAGACGAACACCTCACATCTTTTTGCTTTTTCAGGTACTTGCAGTTTTATTAGTGATTATGTTAGATTTGTTACTTTTTTGTCACTTACACTGGAAAGAATGTTTCCCTATCTTCACCAGTTTTCTTACTCCACTGCCTTGGAGCCCCTTTTTCCCAAGGGTGAGTCTCCGTCAGGCTCTCTTCCCACTTTTCCTCATTTCTTTCCCTTAGAGCAGAGTTTGTTAACTTGAGCTCTATTGATGTTTTAGGCCAGATCATTTTTGCTGGGAGACGAGGACATTTAGTAGCATCCTTGATCTATCTGCTAACTCCAAAAATTGGGCAAGGGTGATCTGTGTTCATTGCTGGCAACTAAAATGAGTCTGCAACAAACAGGAACTGATAGTCAATCAAAAGATAAATTAGAAAAATAAAAGTATACAATGATTGATGTTTCCATGTCCAGAAATAGGAAGTCAGGAAGAGAAGATGTTCAGAGGTTAAGATAAATTCACCTTTATATATACTGACTTTGAGGAGCCAGTGGGATAGGTGTCAAAGATATTATCATATGTACTATGTACACCATGTTGTGGGTATGTAAGTACAATTATATTACTGAAAATTTAAGGTCTTAAGTTTTCATTGTTCTCTTCACTATTTAGATCTTCCTGAATAAAAGGGGTAGATATAGAGAAAAATACTGGCTGTAAAATTATAACAGGATGAGTCATATGTTTGAAACTTACTCAATTGGGAAAACTTTTGTAGCATGCTGCAAATTCTGATGATTACCTAGATGTCTGTGCATCTCTATTCTGTAGCGTTAATGTATCAGATCATGACCCTGAAGAACCAGGCAAAAGTGAGGAACCCCCACCCACAAAGAAGCCCCCAAAAGAACAAAGAGCTATTAAAGAAATGTCATTTATAACATCTGATGAGTTTAATGGCATTCCTGCGTAAGTATTTAAGATAATTTTAAATGTTCAACTCTTTAATAATCAACATACATGACTGTTTAAATTACAAAGCTTGATTATATTCATAATATGCTGTGTTCAAATATTGATCTCTTCTAAAATAGTTTTATACTGTATTATGAAAATGTAGGAAGTCATTTATTGAAGATGATTAAAGCCATAATTTTTATTTAGTTGTAAAACCTCTTTCCATAGAGTGATCTGGAGATGGACCGTTTATTGCTGAGTCCTCTCCAGGAACAATTCTGTGACACAGATTTATCCAGTTACTTTTTAGAAGTAGCCTTAAGTTTTGTTGTAATGTTAAAGAAGGCATGTTGTATAGATTTGAGAATTAGAGAATGCTACATTTGTTTGGTTTCCATTTGTCCCTTACACCACATGCTTGCTTGAATCTGTGCTGTATTTCTGGTCCTGGGTTACTGAAGAGAATACAGGAAAGTTGCCTTTGTTCTTTACAGATAGCAATAATGGGGAACCAGTTATGGAAATCCATGTTTGTAAACTCTCATAATTCCAGGGCTTTGCTTAAATTCTTGGCTTTATATTGTATTTCTTGTTACTTTTTCATCATATGATAGTACATGTTAGAAAATGTTTGTTGTCAGAAGATAACTCTTCTGTAATTCCACCATTCAGATAAGATAATTTCCTTCCAGATTTTATTTAATTTCTCATATATAACAGGTTGTTTCTGATGGTTATTATAACAGTGTAGTTATACTATAAATACAATTTATTATTTTGCCATCATTATTATAAATTTGTATTTTCATGGTTGTATATTTCATCATGTAGTTAGCATATAAGTTGTCTAAACATTCTCTTATTAAATATTTGGGTTGATTTCAATGTTCTCAATAGTGGCACAGTGAAATTTGTTTTAGACAAGTCTATTGTAATTATTTATTTCCTTGAGATGAGATTCCTCAGAGGAAAATTCTTGGGGCAAAGAGCATGATGATTTTACTTCTCTGAGAGTTGTCCATACCAGTTTCTGTTTTCATTCTTTGGTTTTCAACTAATAAACTTTATTTGTTAGAACAGTTTTAGATTTATAGAAAAGTTGAGCAGATAATAGAGTGTTCCCATACCTGAAAACAGCTTTCCCTGTTATTAACATCTTGCATTGGTGTGGTACATTTGTTAAAATTGATGAACCCATATAGTGACATTATTAACTAAAGTCCACGTTTTACAGTAAGGTTCACTCTTTGTGTTGGACAGTCTGTGGATTTTGGCAAATGCATGATGACATGTGTCCACGATTATAATGTCATACAAAACAGTTTTACTGCCTTAAAAAAATTCCTGTGTGCTCCTCCTATTCATCTCTCCCCTGTGCCCCAGGCAACCACTAATCTTTTTACTGTCTCTATAGTTTTGCCTTTTCCAGAATGCCATATAGTTGGAATTTTGTACTATGTAGCCTTTTCAGACTGGCTTCTTGCCACTTACTCATTTGTACTTAGTAATATGCATTTAAGATTCTTCTCGTGTCTTTTCTATGGCTTAAATAGTTCTTTTTTTTATTGCTGACTAATATTCCAGTGTCTGGGTGTACCACAGTTTGTGCATTCACCTGTTAAAGGACATCTTGGTTGCTTGCAGTTTTAGGCAGTTGTGAACAGTGCTACTGTAAACAGCTGTGTGCATGTTTTTATGTGGACCTAAGTTTTCAGTTCATTTGGGTAAATACCTAGCAGTGTAATTGCTGGATTATGTGGTAAGAGTATGTTCTTTGTAAGAAACTGCCAGACTGTCTTCCAGTAACTGTGCCATTTTCATCCCCACCAGCAGTTAATGAATGTTCCAGTTGATTGATATCCTGGGCAACATTTAGTTTCGTCAGCTTTTTCTGTTTTAGCTATTCTAACAGGTATTTAATGGTATCTTGTTTTAGTTTTCAGTTTCCTAATGACATACGATGCCGAGCACCTTTCCATATGCTCATTAGCCACTTGAAAAATAACTGGCTATTCCACAATTCTGAGACTAATGAGGCTGACATTTCTCTTTAATCTTTTTGTTGTTGTTACTCAATTATTTCCTTTCTTTATTTTCATGAAAATTCTGTTTGATACTATTCAGTTTTTCAAATTGTTGTTACTCATCAGCTGAGCTAAAGGGAAGAGCAAATGTCTGTGAGGAATAGTAGAGTAGAAGAGATTTTAGGAAATGTTTCTATGAAGAGATATAGGAAGGAGATTAGTCATGGCAGATTATTCACTTTTAAACACGGGGTTATTTTATGAATGAGAGAATTTAGATTAGGATGAGGAAGAATGTATTCTAAGCAGGGGGCTTTTATTTATTTACCTTAAAAATTAATACCATTGTGGAATTAAAGTGAATAACACTGGCAGAGGTGGGGATGGGCATTGAGGAAACGAAGGCAACATTTCAGAGGATTTAAAGGAATTGCATGTAGAGAGCTGTGGTATTAAGTTTCTGAAAATTATAGTTAGAAAAAGCAGAGCAGCAAAGAATGAATTTAGAAAAGAATGATAAATTGAATGGTTTTGGTCAATACGGACATTTTCCTTTTAACATATTTATATCTTACTTTATATTAAGGAAGTTTTGATTAGAAAACTGCCCCTTTGAATGGAAGGGAGAGGCAGAGTTTCACATAACTAATCCACAGTTTGTTAAAGGGAAAAATTGAGGCACATCGTTCCTTTTTTGGTTGTACAGACCATTCCAAATAGAAAGTCTCCTATTTTTATAGTCTAGGACTCAATAGTGACTGGAAGAGGGAGTGATGGGCGAGAGGGAGATACGGATGAAAAGAGTAGCATTTAGAGTGAAAGAGTCCGCGCTGGAAGGAGATGTGAGCCGGTGAAGAGGAAAGAGTCCGGCTGCACACCGGCTCTCCTCTGCCCTCCCCCTGCCCTGTACCCAGAGCCCCGTCTCTGCGGCCCCTGCGTCACCGGGGCATCCTTGTCCTGAGCTGCCTCATCATCTTTGTTGTGGTTTCTTTTGTCATCATTCCTCATTCCCTCCTCCTCCTCCTCCTCTTTTTTTCTCTGTCTTTCTGAACACAAGTTTTAGCAGAAAACTGGAGTGGTATGAGTTATATAACTTATTAATATTTAGATTTTCCTTTCCCATGTTCATATTTAAAAATGTTTGAATAAGCTGTCTTGTAACTAATCAGCCCATTTGAATGAGAACTTGAGAACTTATTTTAGGTTATAATATTAATTTGCTGGTGGAAGATAAGAGATTAATGCATCCAGATATAACTAGGGAAGACAGGTACTAATATATTGTGGTCTTTATTCAATTTTCAGCTGTTGAGGCATATCTGGTGTATATTGAAATTGATATAAAATTTTTAAAATAAGTACTAATAGCTTTGCAACTGTATAAAATGTATAAATGTTCTGTAAAGAAAATAATTTTGTATAATGATTCTTTAAAAAACTAATCATATATTTACAGGTACATGAAATCTCGTTTAACCTATTGTCAAATTAATGATGTTATTAAAGAAATCAACAAGGCAGTTGTTAGTAAATATAAGATCTTACATCAGCCAAAAAAGTCCATAAATTCTGTGGCCAGAAATCTCTATCACAGATTTATTGATGAAGAAACGAAGGATACCAAAGGTAAAACGATAGCATATATATATATGTGTACTTGTCACCTGTTTCAAGTGTAACTAAATCATGAGAAAACTAATTCTAGAAAATTCTAAATCTAGGTAGGTAGTTCTCACCCAGAGGTGATTTCCCCAAACATTTGGCAATCTCTGGAGACAGCTTTGGTTGTTCCAACAGGGGTTGGGGTGCTACTGGCATCTAGTGGATAGAGGCCAGGGGTGCTGCTGAAGTGCCTTTTGCTACGCAGGACAAGTCACACATGAAAGAATTACCTAGCCCCAGATGTTTGTAGTGCCAAGGCTGGAAAACACTGCTTTAGAGTCTGCTATGAAACTATACCCAGTGTGTTCAGAATTAGAATAGTAATGATAACAGGCATGCTTATGTGGCACTTACTATATGCCACATAGTGTACTGAGAGCTTTGATCCTCACAGCATCCTTATGAGGTACACACTGTTCTTACCCCCATTTTTCAGACTCGGCAAAGAGAGCTTAATGACTTGCCTAAGGCTAGCTAGTTAAGTGATGGAGGTGCTGAGGGTTCCATTCTCTTAACCACTATACCATATTGCCTCTTGAAAAGTGAATTTTTCAAAAGATACCAACAGACAGCTAGTGATCAATAAGCAAGACTACATTTCTGAAATGTTACAGTAAACATTATGTTGAATGTTTGATTTCAACTTCAGTTGAAAGCGTAATTATTATTTTAGCAAGAATACCAGTTCTCACTTTGGTTGGATAATGATAAAAATAATTAATGCCATTCATATTCATAAGGTAATGCATTAAAGACTCATCTTGAAAGTTGTCCTTATAAAAATTAGCACTAATATCTTTATTTTCAGGTCAATATTTTATAGTGGAAGCTGACATAAAGGAGTTCACAGCTTTGAAAGCTGACAAGAGGTTTCATGTGATACTGAATATTTTACGACATTGCCGGAGGCTATCAGAGGTTCGGGGAGGAGGACTTACACGATACGTTATAACCTGAGGCCCGTTTGAGCTTTTGAACCAGCCAACAGTAGGATATAGAGGCTATTCCTATGGTTTCTTTACATGTAGTATCTTCATATATAATTTCTTCAGCTTTTTCATTTTCTTTTCTAGCTTCTTATAAAAATAAAACTTTTTCTTACATAAAGCATATACATTTTTAAATTCACTTTCTTTCAGCAAATATTTAATCACCTGCCATATGAGCCTCTGTGCAAGGTGTATAATGGCACTAAAAATGTTCATGTCTAGTTTTTGTATCTAGTGACAGTGGTGCAGAGCTAAGTAAGATGGGTGTGGATGTGATAATGGATGAAAAAGGTCAGGAATATAAGGTCAAGGCTCTTTGAAATTAAAGGCCATTAGTGTCTAAATTCTATCCATGGCATTTCAGTCCAGGCAAAAGTTGGATTTGGTGGCAGCCCATCCATGTAATTATTCTGCTTTCCCATATGTCACTGGAAACAGCTTACCTGAAATGCATTCAGTATAAAGCTATCTGTAAATATCAACCTGTAATGAAATTGTAATAAAAGTTTATTGAGATGAAAAAGATGATAAAATAGCATGTGTAAACAGATTGATAGAGGTCATGGAAAATGGACGGTTGGATTGTAAGAAGTTAGCCATGTTTCTCTTCCACATATGGGGAGACTGTCTGGTCTGTCTTAGGCAGAATTTCCAGAGAAACAACCAATAGGATGCATATATAAAAAAAGATTTATTATGAGGAATTGACTCATGTGGTTATGGAAGTTAAGAAGTCCTCCAATGTCCATCTATAAGCTGGAGACCCAGGAACACTGATGGTATAATTCAGTCTGAGTCTGAGGTTCTGAGAACCAGGGGAGCCAGGCTTGGGGAGGTGACATGAGATATTGCAGCTCAGAAGTGAGTCAGGGGAAAGGAGTGAATTCCTTCTTTACCTTTTGTTCTACTTAGGTCCTTGAGGGATTGGATGATGTTGGCCAACATGGGCTCAGCCCACCACTGAGTCTACTGATTTCTAATGTTTCATCTGGAAACACCTTCGCAGACACGTCCAGAAATAATGTTTAATCTGGGCACCCTGTGGTGGGTCAAGTTGACACATAAAATGAACCATCACAATCTATGTCTGCCATCTGCTTGGCAGTCTGATTCTTGTAACAGAAAAAAAAGTATCTTACAGGCCCAGTGGCTTGAACACCATCACTGTAATAATGACCACAGAATACATTATGGGTACTGCATATTTATTGTTATCCTTTCTCCCTAATTTATATTCAGGTATGTTTAATTTTTCATGTCTTGCTTTAAAGGAAAGTAATGGCATTATCCTTTACTAAGTCTTGCTTGATTTTTCTGACTCTTTTTTCCCTATGAAAAATGTTTTCTCTGTTTAAATTATTTCTTCCTAAAACTCATATTGGCAACTGTGTGCATAAGTTTAATTCTTATCCAAGAGATACTGAAGTGAACAGTTGAGTCTTTATTTTAATTGTTAGCTTGTAATCAATTTGTTACATTAACTTAGGCTTTACTGTTGGTAAAATATTCAAAGAATAATAAAGACATTAATTTTCAAATAAGAACTGATCTGTTACTTGAACTTCATTTTGAAGCAAAATGGCAAGTTTATTCTACTTACTTACTTTTGAAAATAATATTAAGAAATCTAATTATGAAGGAATTCTGTGGTGCTGTGCCTCTTTGCTCTCAGGCCCATTCCTTGCCCCTTTTTCTTTGCTCTCCATCTTCTCTTGCAGCCTTGAAGCACAGTTCAGCTCCAGTGCATCGCTCTCTCCAGAACCTGAGGCCCCTGTCCTTACCCCACAGCTCCCCACTGCAGGTCCTCTAGCCTGGAGGGGAACAAGTTCTAGCTGGCTGTCTCCAGCTAGGTGCCACCTGGCAGAGGTCTGGTTACCACCTAGTCCTACCAGTCTAGAGGTAGGACTAACTTGAGCTTTTATTTTGAGATGCTCATTTTTATGGTATGAAATGTTTAGTCTTCCTTTATAGGTTCTGTGTTTTTTTTTTTAAAGCTGGTTGGTTGTAGATAAGACTTATTTTCCAGGTAACAGGCTATTTATATGCGATCCTCTGTCCTCTCTTACCTAGCCTAAGAATCCTCTGCTCCCTTTTACATATCCTAACTGGATAGGGGTCTCTTCAGATTCTTTTGGCCTCATCCAGTTTGTATGTCTAGATAAGAAGCTTGTGTTTATATTACTTGCTAGTTAGAAAGCGGGAGATGTAGCTTTAAATGAAGAGCTCTAACTACCACTTCTTATGGCAGATTATATTTTCCCAAGATGTATGGATGAGAGAATTCCATATTCCATACCATATGCTCTTTCAATGTGAGGCCAACACTCTTCCATCAAGAGACAGGATTTTTGTTTCCCTCCCTTTCCATCAGCATACCTTTGTAACTGCTTCAGCCAATAAGATGGAGAGGAAATGCCACTGCATGATTTCCAAGCTAGTTATTAAAGACAACATGAATTCCATGTGGTCTCTTTCTTGGGATGTACGCCCTTGGAACCCTGTCACGATGTTAAGAGAAAGCCCAGGCTACATGGAGAGGTCACATTTAACTGCCAGCACGAAGAACCAGTCATGTGAGCAAGTGATTCTAGCCTCCGACCTTCAAGTGTTCTTGCTGAGATCCCAGGCATCAACAAACATCAGGCTGCCACCACTGTGCTCTGTTTGCATTCAGAACTTGCAGAGGTCATGAAAAATAAATGATTATAGTGGTTTAAAGACACTAGGTTTTTGCATAATTTATCATACAACAAGAGATAATGAAAACACTACTCAAACTTAGCTTCACCAATAGTGGAACATCTTGACATTATATGCCTCCTAATATGACACAACATGAAGTAGAAGGATAGCCTATGAAGTAGCATCAAGAACAGCAAAGCTGAATCTAATTAAGACTTTAGTTCTACCATCTAGTTTATAGGAAACCAAGGGGATGGAGAAACAAGCTAAATGTCATAATAAAGAAACAATCAGACAAATCCAGATATAAATAACCTAGTCTCTTTAAACAAGTCATAGCAGGAAAAAAAAGTCTCATTCTAGATTAAACATAACCAAATATAAACCATGAACCTTGATTGGACTCAGTTTTGAAAAAAAGAGGGACAAGTGTGGAAATTAAATATGGTTATATATTAGATGCCATGAGGATGATTATTCATTTTCTTAAGTATGATAATAGTATTGTGATGTAGGAGAATACCCTTATTTTCTGTAGAAGCATACATGTGATGTCAGTACTATGCTCAAATGGTCTGGCAATAGGTACATACATACATACATACATAGAATATATATGGCAAAGTGTTCATTGTTCAACCTAGCAGATGGTTGTAATAGTATTCATTATGTTCTTTCTCACTCTAGAATTGTTTAAAAATCTTTTCCTAATAAAATTTAAAATGCCCATGTGAAGCAAATACACTGATTAGATATGTACATTTCATGAAAAGGCTGATGGGAATGTGTGGGCTGAGGAAGTGAGTTTGGGAAGGAAGGAAATCAGTTGCTAGAGATCAATTATGAGCTCAGGTGCCACTTCAGGCACTCGTGAAGTTCAGCTCCTACGTCCGTTCTTCCCAACACTGTTCACTGAGCCTAGGCTGGGTGTTTGAACTTTGTACATTATGAAACATGTGAAGACATGAATTTCTTCAATTATGCTGGATTTAAATACCATGCTTATACACAAAGCACAGTATTTAACATCTAACGCATGGAGAAATGATATGCAGTGTAGGAAGCTCGATATATGAAAAAATACCACTTTTAATGAACTTTTCAAATGAGCTTTTGGCAGCACATACCCTCTGCAAGTGATCAGTGTAGACAGATTTTAATTTCTAATACAGGTTTAACTTAATTATTCTGAGCCTACTTGTCCGCTTTTTCTTTTTAACAATTATGCCATTTCAGAGTAATGTTTTAGATCTAGGATCAACATAACAACGTAACAACTCAAAAGCCTCAGGTAATTGAAATTTCCTCCCTTCTGATAGGTCAACATGATCAGTGTGGGCTCTTTTAACTTATAAAAGTTTTCTTGGTCTGGGTGATTGTGAGCAGTGCCTCAGCTGTGTACTAAAAATCACAACTCTGATACTTAATTGTAACTCAAACCAAATTATTTCTCTCAACTTAAAAAAATTCTGTAACATAGTGCATCAAAAAGAAAACGTAAGTATCATAAACCTGGGTTCTAGTCCAGCCTCTGCCATTTACTCCCTTTTGCTTCCACCTTCAAAATTGTGACCCCTTCTCACAAGCCCTTCAATAGCTCCCCACTTCTTACAGAGTAAAATCTGAGTCTTTACAGAGGAGAAGCCCTTCATGGGTCCCTCCTCCACTCAGTGGTATCATCTACTCCTCCATGTTCCAGCTCTACTCCAGCGACTCTGGCCTCCATGCTGTTTCTGGAACAGACCAAGTATGAGTCTCCCCCAGACCCTGGCACTGGCTGTTATCTCTGCCCAGAAAGCTTGTCATCCTTTACCCATGTGACCTTCCTCCTTCCTCCTTCCTCCTTCCTTTATATCTGCTCAAATGTCACTTGATCATTTGGCCTTCTTAGGCCACCTTATATTTAAAATTACATCTCCCTTCGGGAACATTCCTCCTCCTCTGCTTTACTTTCCTTCACAGCATGTGTGTCTATCTGATGGTTTACATCATTTACCTATTTATTTGTCTCCCCACCACTGGCTAGAATAGAAACTAACCTTCTTAGGCCACCTTATATTTAAAATTACATCTCCCTTCGGGAACATTCCTCCTCCTCTGCTTTACTTTCCTTCACAGCATGTGTGTCTATCTGATGGTTTACATCATTTACCTATTTATTTGTCTCCCCACCACTGGCTAGAATAGAAACTACTGAGAGGAGTTTTAGTACCTTTTTTTGATAGACTGCTATGTCCCCAGCCAATCTTAACAGGGCTTTACAGTAGGGGGCGCTAAATAAATATTTACTTAATGCACATGATGAAAACAGTTTGTGGCCATGGCAAGTGACAGCATCTTTCCATGCCTCCGTTTCCTCCTGTATATATTGAGATGGTTGACCAAAATTTCTCTCAGAAACTTCTGATTTTAATATTCTTTGATTCTCATATTTCCAGCTACTCCTGGGTAATACATTCATGTTAAAATTAAAGGATATTCTGTGTGGCTGGATTACAAAAAATGATAAAAACAAACATTCTGGTGATAATTGCAAGGAAATCTTATCTTTTAAGCAAAGAATCTGTAAAGTATTAAGCTTCAAGAAACACTGAAATGCTGTTGCCAGCTCATAGCTGTACTCAGCTTGTTCGTCCTTCCAGCTATTGCTCCTTGGAGACCCCTCCTGTCCAGTCACCCAGTATCTGAGTGGAATGTGTAAGTAGATTTGGGAGCTTTTCCTTCTGTGGTTCCTTCATTTCCAGGATTCTACCCTCCTATTTCCAGCCACTCTGACACTCCCAAAGTCCTTTGATGCCTCAAACAGGTAAGAGTGCAGCTTTCTATCTGAATTTTACCTGCATATAGCTAGGCAAAGCCTTCAGGAAAAAATACGTGTCTGCATGTGGATCTTAGGCAGTGCAATTCTATTTTTCCAAGGGGCATAGTCCCTCCAGTTGTACATTTTTGGTCATTTTCTGAGCTTTCAAATAGTTGGCTTTTAGCATATTTTGAATAGAATTAGTCATTTTTAAGTTACTCTTCAATTACTGGAGCCAAAACCTAGCAATCAATGGCTTAATCCTTTTGATGAAACAGCAATGTAACCTTTTAGAATATAGATATTACTCCTTATCTCCCTGGATCACTAGTAATAAAAAAATGCCATGTGCCTGTCATGTCTGTAGGGTCCATTAATATTCTACTGAGAATAAGTGGCAATGAAAGCCACAGTTTTCTGTTTTAGACTTTTGTATTTTAGGATTTTCTTCAAGCGGGATACATACATACCAAGACTCAGTTCTGGTCTATTTCCAGACCTTGGAAGAATATTGAGAGATTTGTACATCTGTTTATACTTCTATTATCAAAGCTAATAATCGAGGACAGTACTTCTGCCGGCTGTCTCTTCTTCTCTGGTCCTTTGTGTTAGCAGAAGTAGCTCTTGGTATTAATAAGCTAGGAGTAATGATTCACCTCTGGTAATCTTTCCCAAGTTAGAGACCATGATAAATCATACAATCATTTGCTTCCCTGAATTGAAACACCCAAGCCTCTGCTGTTCAGTGTGGGCAGGGCATAGAGGTGGGAGGTTCTCTCCTATTCTGAGGTTCTCCTCGGAGGTGGGATTGGATTCAGAAATGCTTATTCACAAACACCTTTGCCATTTGAAATATGAGCTGACTTCTGTCTTGGGGGAGAGGTGCGAAGGGCATTTGCTTTTTGCCTCTTTGGCTTGGTGTAAATCAGAAGGGGCTACATGTCATGTTAACGGCCCTACTTCCCCACCCTGAGATTAGTAAACGGCAGTATTCTAACCCCACAGACTGAGAATTCATGTGTCAGATGTAATTTTCTGCTTGTGTAT